CACACACACACACACACACACACACACACACACACACACACACACACACACACACACACACACCCCTACCACCTACTCCTCCCTGTTTACTTTTTGCTTTTCTTGAAACTGTAGGTTCTGTGGAAGTCTTTTGAAAACCTGTTGAGTTGCTGAATCCTAAGGGCTCTGTCTAAAATTCTAGAAACAGCCTGCATTACTAAAGAATTTGTACTTGAGATGGGCACCTGGAGTCCGTACTGGTCTTGCAGCTGATCCCAGCATTAGCTCGGACTCAGTGCTGGCTTCTGCCCTAAAAAGGATCTGGGTATTTTGTTCTTGACGGTGAGGAGGGACAAAAATGTGTCTTTAACATAATTGGTATTTTTAGAGGACCAGTCTGACTTTTTATTTCTACCTAACTCATACTGCCACCACTAGCATCTTAATTCACATTAATTAAGTCTGCATTTAGTAACCTCAGGGTATCTGAACATTTCCACATCTGAAGGTGTTTTTAGGAGCAAGAAAACAATGCCTTATACAATGTGCAGTTTTTGGGGTGTAGTCTAGACCCATTGTTGGCAGGGCAGCATTTGTTAATCCTTGACATCACTGGCTGTGGCTTAAACCCGACTCTCTGCTGGACAGTGTTCATATTTGTGTCTTGTAGCAAGAGTAGTCAGCTCATGGGCCAGACTTCAGTGGTGAGGGTCTGTCATGCTCCTCCTCCTGGCTCCCATTCCCTCCTGGTTTTGAATTGTCTTCATTTGTTTTCCAGGCTGATGAACCAATTGCAGATTATGCTGCAATGGATGATGTCATGCAAGGTAAAGACGATATTGATACTGATTGGATATTGAAGCTTTAGTCTACAATGTTTTTTTACTTTTAACCTTGAAAAAAGCTTCTACGTGTTGTTAAGGTAGAACCTCACATTATTTATCTTAAAAGATCATAGAAAGAGAGAGAAAGGTGTCTACAAAAACTTGGAAAATGGAAAGCAGAGAGAAGAGTAGTAATTATTTAGCTGAGCTGAGGAAACCGAAGTAAATGTAACCCTACAGATGGAAGAGGTCAACAGGCAGCAAAGCTAATTCACATCACAGAGCTTCAGAGAGGCACACAGGAATTCCTGCTCTGAAAGGAGGAGCGAGGTATGAGCCTAAAAGAAGGAAACTTGGTTGGAAAACTGTATAAGAAGTAGTTGGACAACTCACTACCCTGCGGATCCTCACAGCCCATCCCTGTATATCCATCACGGCCTCTTCCCCACCTGCACTTCAGAAGAGCAACTGCAGTATGTTTCAGCTCTTGGAAGAAATTAAACTAGAAAGGTGAGAATGAGGCCTGTTATGTACAAACAGGGAGAACACCCTTAGTTCTTGGTTCAAGTGCTGGCAGCCCGTCCCTTTCCTCCCGCATGGGAGGGAGGGGATTCCACTCTGGGGAAACGGGCCAATTTAAGAAAATAACTAGAGATATTTAAAAAAAAAAAAGTGTTTCCTCTCCTGGGGACCCTTCAGTGAAGCCCACCAGTGCCCACCGAACAGAGTTTTCAGGCATCTTTTTAGTACCTCACACTTAAGTAGGCAGAAATGGGCAGCCAAAGATCACCGGACAGTTGAGGAACAAGAGCATGGAACTGAGAGATGTCGGTCAACAGTCCGAGAAAAGGAACCCAGAGGAAGGAGACGACGCAGGAAGCATAAGAAAGCTTAAAAATTAACTGTAAATAACACAGAGAGAAAGGGCAGACAACAGCTAGGGCCTATATAAAGGGAACATTTGGAGAACAGAAAAGAATTCATGAAAGTGGAAAACGATTGCACCAAGGGCCTGATACAGTGAGTGAAAGCCTAAAGATAAGAGAATCCTAAAAGCATCTAGAGATATGGAAGGAAAACCCATCACATTCATAGGACGAAGAGTCAGAAAGACAAACTAATGGGGCAGTGCCCACAAGATTCTGAGGAAAAGTGAGTTTCAAGCTAGAATTCTGTAACTAGAGAGGCTGTTTTCTACCCTCACACTTGATGGCTCTTTGAACACACGTAAAGCCTCAAAAAATTGGTCTCTCATGCTGAGAGACTATGGGAGGGTGTGCTCTTCTTAAACAAGAGAGTAAATCAAGAAAGAGGCCAACAGGAACCAGAAAACAGGGATCCACATAGGAAAGGAGGCCTGGAAGATGGTGAGGGAAGTCGCAGCACGAAGCTCTGCGGCGGGTGGTGGGCACACCCGCTCAGGTGGGAGCGGTGGCATGCAGGCTTTGGTGGAGGATGTCCACAGGGAAACGTGCAAGTGACAGGTGACTCTCTCGAGGTTTACAGGTCTTTTAAGAGTTGACACTTGAATTGGAGATGGTACAGAGGAAAGGAAACACATAAATAATGCAGCAGTTACCAACCCTAGAAAGAAAAAAGTCATGCCAGACAAGAAATATAACCAAGGTACACCAGAAGGTTCAACGGTGAGCAGTATTAATGGAGTGAAACATAATGTCAACACTGGAGCTTGGCTTAACAGCAGCAAGTATCAGTGTCGGGAGGAAGGGTTGGGGACAGGAGGTATGTAACAGGTGGTTGAAGAGCTCACGTTTTATCTTTCCTTGAAGGAGTTAGTAGACATTACCTAAAGTTACGAAATAGTAATATAAGCATGTTATTTAGAAATAAAGAGGTTAAATACCGGAAGAAATGGCTACAGGAGTCAAACGTGTTTCCTTCTAGAGGATGGGAATGGGGGGAGGGGGAGAAACCAACTCCAAAGGGCATCAGGCACATGGTTTCTCCAGGCCTCCCCTGCAGTCATGCAGAATGTCGGCTCCACTTACAACCCCTGTTCCACCAGTATTTGACTTTTTAAACGATGCATATATATCACTCTGATAAAAACAAAAACAGAGAGAAAAATTGTCATCTGATTACTGTCATCCATAACTTCAAAAGTAATCATGATGGGTAAGTAAGGTAATTAAAAGTTATTTTAAACTTTTCATCTTTAGGCATTGAAGTGATCTGATTACTGTCTGTCACGACAATCTTTTCAATGTGGAATTTTTTTTTTTCTTTCCCAGTGTGTATGCCAGAAGAAGGGTTTAAAGGTAAGTTACATTTGTCATGTTTTGTTCATGAATGTCAGAGTCATACTGTAATTTTCTATTAAAGTGCAGGCTATAATTTGATTTTAAAATTTAATTCAATCTGAGTCTCATGACTGAAATTAATTTTAGTTAAATGCATTTTTTATTCAAGCTTCTTCATTATCTTTTTCAGCACTCAGGCCTCAGATAGGGCCTGTGTGTTAGAAGTGTCTGCTACCAGATGTCCATTCTGCTTTCTCTCTCATTTCAGGGGGGAGGTTGGGAAATTAGCGAGTGGCATTTCAAGATTTATATTTGACCTTTTTCCGGTTCCTCCTGTCGGTCCCAGCTTTAGAGCAGACAGTTTGTGTGTAACTGATAAGAATTAAAGGAGAAGAATTTGCTGAATTGTATCAGGCTCAGTGAAAAGGTTTCATTAATCTATTTAGAATTAAGGCATTTCTTGGAATATTACTTTAGATGGAGACACGGCGGTGCCTTGTACTATGTCTTGGCCGCTAAAGTGTGTACACCAATAATATTCATTATTCATCAAATACAGACCTTTGACATTTACAGATTTAACTGTTGCCATTTTGATTCCTTGTGGCCTACTCCAGAGGTCCGTGGCAGGTCCTGATTTTGCCAAGGAATGAGTTTGAATCAAATACCAGGGGTGCTTTGCTAAAGCAAATGAGTGAGCCAAGCTACTGGCCTCAGTAAAGCCTTCCTCTCAGTGCGGCTTTGTTGTCTACACGTTACTACTGTGTGGTTAAACAAAACAAAACAAAGCAAAACATTTCTCTATGACAAATGGCCATCAAATGAAAGCATCAATAAAATCTGATTAACTTGTGTGAAGATAACGCATAGGAAACACATGGCTTTCAGCAGAAATGTGATTTAGCTGAAAGCCTGGAGTCTGCTGATATTTTTTTTATCCGTCAACATCAAGGGGCTGCTGTGCTTGTGTATTTAATTGGATAATCCCTGTTGATGATGCGTTCTCAGCAAATGGAATACATGATCTCATAATTTTCAGTTCACAACTGTACCTCCACGTGTGTTTCTTTTCCCAGGTACTGGTCTACTTGGACATTAATCTTTTGAACACTTGGCTGACTGCTAAGAAATGACCAGAAGGGAAGAGGAGTTTGACATGTTAGGGCATTAAAGAAAAGGTGGATTTAAGAATTAAACCATTACATGACTCTTCCAAAAGGCAGAAAACCATTCAAAAGTGACTGTCCCAAATGCCTTATGTCAAATAAAGCAGATTGCACTGAAGGACATCAGACTTGAAGGAAATGTTTCAAATTTTATATTTAAGGGGAATGGGGGTGGGAGGGAGGGGGCAAGTAAAGATTGAACAAGTTTAGTAGCAGTAACAGTAAATCATGTTTACATACGAGATTTATAGTCATGGAGGAAATAAAGTTGTTATATTTCCTTGCTTGAGTTTCATACCAGATGCGTTGGTCCATAAAGGATTCGTATCACAGTAGAGAGGACAACATTCTGCTCTGAACTAAAAGTGATTCTTTAGAGACATAACCTGCTTACCAATACCTGTCTTTGATTCATATTTTACTTTCAATAAAGCATGAAAGTGAAGAACTTGCCATAATTGTGGAAAAGTGTCTTCGGATTAGACTCCTCTCCATGTCGCCTACAGCGCGCCCGCCTCATGCACTGCCCAGTGGTCTGTCCCGTAGTGTTGGGTAAAGGAGGGGGCACCTGTGTGTCTCTCGCAATGAGCAGGGGATTGTGTCTCAGTTTTGGCTTCAAAGGCTTTTTGCATTCAGGCATTTAAGAAAGGATGGCAAATGTGTATTACATGCAGTAGCATCTTCCTCCAGGTTTGCTGTTATTCAAAAGTGGGAAATCAAATACACCTTGCACTTTTGAAAAACCTGACCACCTTATCAGAAGAGTGAAGTGGACTGAAGGATGTTTGAATACCACAAGGTTTTTATAAGATTTATTTTCCTGTCCTCTAAGTCGTTTCTTGGATCTTGCTTCTCTTTTTGAAAGCATTCTTCTGAAATGCCCAGAGAGGATCTTTTAGATCACTTTGTTTAAAAAAGAAAACAAGTGTATGGACGGGGTGTGCCGTTTTATCTAACTCAACATTATTCTTATTAGCAACACACAACTGAAGCAATATTCTTAAGAATATTGAAGGAATTTTAAATGGAACTTAAGCCTGGGGTCTGTGTCGCTGTTTCTCTGTGGAGTCTGTATGCACGTGTTCGGAGCAGAGACGCTGACTCAGGCATCTCTCGTTAATACTTTTTTTTAGCCTTGGGCTTGTGCTGGGCTTTCTCCCTCCCACCCCCCTTTTCTGAGAATTTAAACTCAAATAATGGACGGAAGAGGCAGGTTTCAATTTGAGGACCGGTAACCTTGGCAGCCTCCCCTCTGAATAGCTCTTTTTATCAGAATAATTATGGCTGTTTGGTAAAATTATAACTTCTTGCTCGTGTTTCCCCTCTGTGTTTGCAATGTCTTCAGTCTTAGCCCCCTGAGGAGGCGGGGGGTGTTGAATGAGCCTGTGTGGGAGAGAGAGCTGCACATGGGACCCTCAGAAACCGTCCTAGGAGCCAGCGGTTCCCACCTGGAGGTCGGCACAGGGAAGGAACTCGAAGTGGAGATCCCGGATAGCTGATCTTGATTTTTAGATTGCAATCTTTTATTTCACCCCAAAGAAATGAAGCTGGAGCATAAAAGTAATAACACACCAAGCGGCTTACTCTTTCCCAAGGGAAAGACGTGTGTGCAGGTTCACTTAGTGCTTGATGCAGAAGCTTCCTTTTCCCGACAAAGAAGCTGTTTGGCCAGAGCAGGTTCTTTCTGGGGATTGATATAAAAACGTCAGTAGCCGCCAGGAATCTGATATATTTTTTCCCAATTTGCCGTTAATAACAGTTTTAAAATTGTTACTTGAGTCTGTTTTCTTTATGCAATGCTATAAAAGAACAGCCTTATGTAAGTCAGGCTGATAACCCAGTCTCAGTACTGGCTTCTTTATTAACTCTGCCCAGGGGTAAGGGAGGGCCCAGAGTGAGCAAGTGATGCTCCAGGGCTCTGTCCTCAGCCCCAGCAGTTGTCTTCCTCCTGCCCTGACAGCTTCCTTTGTTCTACCAGTGCCACTCAAAACGTGTGTGGTGCGATAGCACCAGTAGCGCTGCGAAGCTGTATGGGCAGTGCAGGAGCTCAGGCCCCAGAGGCACTGAATTAGGGTCTGCATCGAGATCAGACCGCTCCTGCTCTTGGAAGTTTGAGAAGCCCTGGCGGACCGATACAAAGTTACAAAGAAATGTATACCGTGTTTAGTGGCCTTGCATTGCCCCTCTCACCTCTGTACAGGGAAAACAGGTACAAGGTGTAGCCTAAAACCAGATTCTTGCCTTGTCTGGATTTAGAAATGGATGGAGACCATTGTCTTCTGGGCTGTGACCACACTGAAGTAGAAAGACTCTTTCTATCGGGTTTTTTATGTAGTGCACGTGTCCTTTTTAATTTTAGATCAATCTTCTGTTGAAGGTATTATGAAGCTTGAGGTCCCCCATCCCCTTATATCTCTGACCATTCCTTAATCCTAAACGAATGTGTACATCATATGCTGGTACACACTGTTGCCATTACCTGAAATACAGGTTGCCATTTGGACGTCTTCATTCCCTGGGGGAATAAGTATCTTTCTGTGTATTAATGAACCGTGTTGTTGAGAGTTACTGTTATCTTTCTGCCAAATTAAAAAGAAATGAGTGTCCCTTTATTTCCATGGAATCGTAATCCAGAATGAATTTTTTTTTTTTACTTTAAAAATGTCCTGTTGGTTGGTCTGTGTGGTCATGAACTTGTTGATCAGAGCCTGGTTAATATTTGAAGCTAATGCTGGGATTGAATAACCTGTTTTAAGTCCCCAAGGCTGATTTATCTCTGTCTAAACAAACGGGAGAAGTGAAGTGAGCATCAAAGCCTGTCTTTCCTGTTACAGACCGTGGAGGAGCATCACATCCTTTCTCTTGGGCATTTTAATGTTCAGCTGGTTCAGTGTTACAGGGGACTGTGAGCAGATTTCACTCAGGTGAAAAGCCAGCGTTTTCATTTTAAGCAGATTCTCACCCCTTTGCCAGCATCACCCCCTCCCCTATCACACGGTGCAGGGTTTTGTCGCCAGTTGCATTTCTAATTCTGAAGGCTAGCAGTTCACCAGCCCCAACCCACAGACATTGTATGGACACCAGTATTAGCTGGGGATTTGATTATCAACATTATTGGAATCTTTTACTCAATAAAATACAAATTATAAACACTTGTAAAATGGTACCACTCTGTTGGACAGATATTTCACTGAGCAACAGCTTTGTGCCGAGTCCTGCGTGCCAGGGAAAGAGTCTAGTGGGAGACACAGAAAACAACCCCTCCACCTCATGCGTCCCCAACCTTTGTGGTTTTTTCAAGTCTGGCTGTTGAGTCAGTTGGGCTAGGGAGTCTGCTAGCTGTTCAGATAGCATATACCTATGTAGGCAAGTTTTGAGAATTTGGGTCACCTGTGTTCCAGATAATTTCACCATTTACCTTGTGACTAAGGAAAGTTACTTAGCTTTGTCTTGTCTCCTTATCTCTTAGAAGAAGGCAGTCAGTGTTTGCTGCCTGTTGACCCTCCCACACTGAGAGTCAAGCAGTAATAAATATTGTTGGGGTAAAAGGCTTTGTGTTATTCTTTGTAATTAGAAAGACTCTAGCCTTTGTGAGGAAGTGCTAGGGAATCTTCTTTTCCGCAAGTCTTCAGAAAGAGGTCTTGGAACCTCATAGCCAAGCTACCCAGAACCCCTTCTCTGAGAACTTTAGAACATACCTTATGCTGGAAGCCCTTAGAGCTAAAATGTTGCTGGGCAGGTGTTCCATCATCCTGTTACATAAATCTTTCCTCCTGGCCAGTAAGGAAAATGAAGCTAATGGCCAAACAGTAAGCTGCCTTGATTCTGTGTTTATTTGCAGGGTCATGCTGAAAAGTATTCAAAACACGTTGAGAATGCGTGTTGAAGATTTATGTCTTTGTGATGGGCAGGTCCTGCCCCAGAGGGGCAGCTTTCAGTGTTTTGATTGTCATTGCCAAGAACATCAGGAACAGGTGCTGGGAGCCTTGGAAGCAGGGCTGTGCAGGCACCTGGCAGCTCGAAGCAATGCAGGAGACTGTGGCCAATGCTGACAGGCTGCTTCCTGATCTCAGAACCATGTGTTTTTCATTCTTTATATACCTCTTGAGACTTAGGGAATAATATCGTTCAAGAGTAGAGTACGTGGAACAGGTATTTCTTGTGCTTCCCCTTCCCTAACAAAAAACCCACAGGACCAGCTTTTTCAAATTAATACAGCATCCTGCTAACTGTATCTCATTCATCACTTTTTTTTTAATGCGTACGTTTTAGACAAGTTGGTGACATTTCTTCGTATGGTGAGATTTAAGTATCTTTTCTGAACCTCATTAGATTTTGGGAAGAAGGAAGAAGGAGGTTGCAAAATTCATCTCTTTCTGACTTGCCAGGAGTTGTGTGACCTCTTCTAGGTGACATTGGTCTGCCTCTAGAATTGGGACCTGCACCAGCTCATTACTGGACCGAGCCTTTGCTGTGTCCCACCCAGCAGAGGCAAGACCATGATCCCCGAAGAAGTGGATCCTACTGCCACATGGCCTCCATCCCACAAGTACAAGTGACGTGTTGGCTCTTCTCGTACTGTGTTTCACACTTTCTCATTCATGACGCTGTCTAAATTCCCCCTGAAGTTAGTCCTAAGGGCTTGTCCAACATGTTACTATATTGATTGCAGATAGAAGGCATGATCTGTTTCCCTCTAACATGCTTAAAGAAAAAAAAAACCCTGCCTTCAAGGACTCGGCTAAGATTGCGTAGGCCAGGGCCTTTGAAGTGAAATTGCTCTCCTTCAGGGACGGAGCCAGCCTTATAACAGCAGCTGGAATGGCAGCTTGAATTCCAGATCTGCAGTGCTGCCAGGGAGGGCAGGCCCTGGGCCACAGGAAGTGGGGGACACACCCCAGGGAAGCCAGAAGGCCTGGGCTGAATCGTTGCCAGGTGGCACATTAGCCTATGCACACATGTAGCTTGGTGTCACACTCCCTCTCCTCCATTATTCTCTGGTGCATTTGTATTTGTAACCGAGGGAACAGTAAATGCTACCAGCTCTTTTTATGATCCTGGGCAAATGTGTTCCCCTTTGGACCTCAGTGTTCTCTCTAAAAGGAAGTTGGATGTGTAGAAGTTGTCAAACATAAGCTAGGTGGAAGGAGACAGTGGGGCCTCATGTCTTCAGCTCTGCTCCCACACCCACCCACTCCCTGGAGGAAGCTCCGGGGAGTGCATCTGGAAAATTGCCCACTGGACAGCCTCTAAGGACTTCTCTTGTCAGTCTGTGAGTTGCCTCTTTGGTTGGTTTATTTCTGCAGTTTTTGCTGCATCTTTCCCATCTATAGCATGCACTGGTTCTCTGGATGAAAGAGGCTCCAAGCCGTGCTAGACTGTCTAGAATTCTGGAACTTTGTTTATTTTTGTCTTACTGAGAGGCAGAGTTAGGGCTGGATCTTATGTCTGCACCTAAAACCACTCTGATCCCAGAAAATGAATCAATGTAATTAGTGCTAGACTGTTGTAGCTCCCTGAGGGCAGGGGCTCTGGCCATCATATTCATCACTGTATCCCGCAGTGTGCCACATAATACGTCCTCAGCAAGGAAAAAGGAATGAACACTTCAGGATCCACTAGAAGCTCTTCTGCTCTGACAGTGAGACCCCTGGGAGGGAGCTTTCTGTTACTTCGGTATGACCAGAGCTGTCCCCACCTTTGGGCTTGTCTCTTTCGTCCTCAAAACAGGGACTTCCTAGCTCTGTGCACATTTGTGATCCAAAGACTTCTGTAACCCAGGAGTGTGTCCCCCAGGGTTGCATCCTCTGCCACATCTCCAGCGTCAGTGTGGCAGCCTCCTTCCCTGACAAACGTGTCCTTTGACAGATGTGCCCTGGTGCCGACTCCCACTCCTCCTCCTGTCTTGTTCTCACTGGAGCGGAACTATCCTCTTCTCCCAGCCACCTCTGCAGCCCACCCTCTTCTTTACCAGCCCCTCCTAGACCTTCCTCAGTGCTCAAAGACAACACACCTGGGGGACTCACCGCTCTCGAGTTTTCTGCCCCTGCTTTTCCTGCTGGGCAGTCTGTATCCCCATCCTTTTCCCCTTTGATCTGGCCGGGGAGGGGTGAGCAGCGAGAGGAGAGCTGTTTCCCAGAGGAGTCATTCCCATTTGAGGACTCCCTCGTGCATTATTCTGAGTTTACTGTTGTGCCACCCACGTTTTCATTGTCCATCCTTCTTAGATGTCAGATTTTTTCTAACCAGCTTTCATTTTTCAGCAATTGAGAGGGCAGGAGTGGTGGCTAGGTCGTAGGGTATTAAGTGTTTGAAAAAGAAAAGGCTTGTGCCCAGAGGCAGCCATGCATGAGTGGTCAGTCCTGAGTGGTTTGGATTGAAATAAGGCAGGGAAAGCGGAGCCCCGGAGCCTTTGTCCAACCTCCCCTCGGTACCCGGGCTCCGTGCCAGGCCCTCTGCCTGGTCCCCACTGCACGTGCTGCCTTCTCCCCAGGGGCCCTGAAAGTCAGGATGGTGCCCCCAGGACACACTGGAGATTGTAAGCCTCTTGCATTGAGGTTTTCTGTAAAGAAGAAAATGCTGTAATTGAAAAGCTCCTTGATTATAAAGAAGAAATAGAGAGGCCTGGCGCAGAAGTGCCTTCGTTCTTTGGCCTACGCAGCCAGGGTCGGGCACATTCAGTCCCCCGGTGCCAATAGGACCTTAGGCCCTTGGGGACTGTGGAGTTTGACAGTCCAGACCATGATAGGTCACCGCTGCAACTCCTCACGTAGTGCGTTTCTGCACTACCACTGCCTCCGTGTGCCCCCTTGCTCCGGCTCAGGTGGGGCACCTTTGTCTGCCCTCGCAGTCTGGAAGGTACCATTGGTAGTGCCTTCCTGGCTGGAGTTGGGAGCCCATGGTCTATTGTCTCACACCGTGGAGGGGCGAGGGCTCTTTGCCAGAGTGGCTGGAGAAGCAGGAAGAGGCCCTGGGATTGGCATTGAAATTGAATTCAAGGATCCATCCATCACAGCACACAACAAAGCTGAAGGATGGCGGGGAGATGTCCTTCAGAGAACCCTGGATCTGGTGTGCCCTCCCTGAGAGTGCGAGCCTAGCCCTGCTGTAGGCCAGTCAGCCCAGTGCATGCTGCCCTAGACGGTCTTAAGGCTTTCAGCCGGCATTTCCCAATAGGATTTTATTTCACCAAGATTCTCCCAGGACCAGTGCCCTGTAGACCATACCTGTTTGGGGCAATTGCTACACCATGAAATCCCTTCTGTACCATTCCCAGAAGTGCCTTGGCCAAGCTCGTTCAACTTCCCTCCTATTACAGCTTTGAACCAACCATATAGCCCTGGTGCATCCTGAGAAGGATCCAGGCCTGATGCTAGGCTGGAAATCAAGGGCCTCCAGGGGTGGGCTGGGCTCAGAGTGAGCAGGTGATGCTCCAGGAGTCTGTCCTCAGCCCCAACAGTTGTCTTCCTCCTGGCCTGACAACTTCCCTTGTTCTACCAGCGCCACTCAAAATGTCCTCTGTGGCCCAGTAGCACCAGCAGCGCTGCGAAGCTTTATGAGAGATGCAGGAGCTCAGGTCCCTGACCCACTGGGTCAGGATCTGCATTGGGATCAGGCTGCTCATGCTCTTAGAAGTTGGAGAAGCCTCGGGCTGGGTTCTCTGCGGCTGGGGGAGCTTACAGAAGGACTGGAAAGAACTAGTGCCCCGTGCCCACTTCCCTTCTGCCTTTTCACATTTGTGGGGGGTGAGATGAGGTGGGGGCATGTCCTGCTATCTATTCCTTCTTAATTCTAATTTCTTTGTTGGGGTGAAAGTCTTAGTGGGGAGACCCTCAATCTCGTGGGACTGAAAACTCAGGGGCCTGCATATCTCACATCGTCCAGAGGCTGATGTAAGGATTGCTGAAGGTCCCAGATCTTTCCCTTAATGAAATGCAGTCCCTGTGGCTGGGAAAATGGGAGGGGTGGGGGGGATGGAACTGACAATCACTTGTTAAGCACAGAGCAGGTGCTCAATAAATGTTAAATAAATGAAGACAAGCCTTGAGTCCTCCCTAAGTCCTGTCTGTGAAGTGGGTCTATTGGACTCGCTGACCTTGGAGGGTCCTGTCGGCTTGACCCACCTATTCTAAATAGTTGGTGAGATGGAGATTTGTCTCTATCACTTTTTCAGCCTCAGTTTCTCCAGTTATTAGAGCAAGGGGGTGAGATCCAGGGGTCTCAAAGACCCCCTCTAAAAGTAACGTTTGTGTGACTCGCGGCATGATCTTGGGGCCACCAAGCATACCCCCACCCATTGTCCCCCACAGCTCTGGCCTTGCAGACACAGTTTCCTCCATTCATCTAGGGTTGCCCCTTGGAGGGGAGCCCAGTAGAGAACAGAGAGGTGTATGACAACTGGGGTTCTCAGTGGGGAGTGGGGCCCAGGAGCCGCTCAAGTGTCCGGTGCTGCTGCTGCTGCAGCCACCTGTGACCTTGGGCAAGTCTCGTCCCCTCTCTGAGCTTCCGAGGTCAGACTAAGGTGATCTCTGCGGCCCCTTCCTGTCTGGGTTTTCAACTCTTGTCGGGACCCCACCTTACTCCTGCTGCCTTCCTCCACTTCCTCTTTAGAGCGCGGCCCGAGGCTCGCCTCCCGCTGTCCCCCGGTGAGGTTGGGAGTGGGGAGCGAGCAGCTCAGTCCAGGGAGGGTGTCCGGGAGCCGCTGACCGGCTGGGGAGGGTCACCGCGGGCCTCTGAGCGGAGTCCGTGCCGCCGGGGCGCAGCCCCCTCGCCCAGCTAACCCCGCGCGCCCTTCCTTCCTGCCCGGCCCCTGCAGACGCGGAGCCCGTGGGGGCCTGGGGCGTGGCCCTCACCTTTCCCGTCGCCCCCACTTGCCCCGAAGTTGTCCTTCCCACCGTGGAGCGTGAGCTGTTGGCTGGACCGCTGGGCTCTCCCCCGGGCCCTGCCACAGTCGGGCCGTGCACCCTTGAGCCCGTCTTTGCCCTCTCTGTTCTCAGTTTCCACACCTGTAAAATGGGGCACGAGCGCCGGCCTCGGGACCTGTCGTGGGGCGCCGGGCGGGGGGGGCCTCGGCTCCGCAGTGAGGGGGGAGCGACGCCGGGAACAGCGCTCCGCGGTCACGTGACGCCCCCCCTCCCCGAACTGCGGCGGCGGCGGCGGCGACCGAGCCGCGTCCGAGCAGAGCTGCAGCGGCTGCCGCGGGCACCGGAGAGCCAGCCCAGGACGCCCCGGCCCAGGCCCGCGGTGAGTCCGCCCCGCCCGGGGTGCGGCCCTGGGAAGGGAAAGGGTCGGAGGTGGCCCGGGCTGCCCTCGGCCGGCAGCCAGGACCCCGCGCGGGCGGGCGGGGCGGGAGGGGGGAGCGGGCGGGGACCCGGGTCCCCAAGGTCGACGGGGAGCGGGGACAGGGGTTGGCCGCGGCTGGGGCGGGGGAGCGAGAGGTCAGGCCTGGGCTGAAACGGCGGAGCCCCCCGCCTGCGGGGGTTGGTCCAGGCCGCGGCTGGGGGGCTCGGGTCCCACCCCCCGCGCACCCCGAGGAGGGGCGCCTTGGGTTCAGAGGAGGGAACGTGAAGAAGTGGGTGCGTTACCCGGATCCCTAGGGAGGGGCCCGGCCCTAACCCCCCAGGAGGAGGCGCTGCGGTTCTCAGAGGAGGGAAGTGGGGGTCCCCAAGCCCCACGACCCTGAGCCATGAGGGCGGTGACGTCCTTGCCTCCCCAGGGACAGAGCGCATTCCCCCTGCCCCCTGTCCCTGACCCACCGCGGAGCAGGGCACCCGCATCACGCAGTCGGGCGCCCCCTCGTCGCCTCTCCTGGCTCCGCAGGATCTCAGGACTGGGTGGGAATCCACAGGGCGGTCCCTGCGCCCCTCAGGGGCTTTGGTGCCAGCTGTGGGGTGACTGGGCTTGGGGAAGATACCTTGTCTGTACACACACACACAGCTCAGGAGGTGCACACCCTCCCTTCATGGTAGTCAGACCCTGACCTGTGTGTGACCACCCCCCCACCAGTCCTTGTTGGGGTCGTACCACAAGCCTGGGGGTGCAATCAAGAAGGACACTCCACCCTCACACATGGCACATTGGCATCTGTCCCCGTGCTTCGTTTCCCTCCCTCGCCAGTCAGAGGCCGGCAGGAGGGGGCACTGAGGGAAGCTGGGTCAGGACAGAGCAGGAGAGAGAGGCAGAGGGGAGATGAAGTATGGAGACATCATTTCCTCCCGAAAGGGCGCTGGGTCCCAGGCCCCTGGCCCACCCTGCCACAGGGCAGTGGTTCCTCTTTCCTGGGAGTGTCTGGAAGAAGAAGGGCAGGGGGTGGGGGGACTGAGATTACTAGCTAATGAGAGGGAACATCAGCCGAAGGTGCCCCTGAACTGGGAGAGGGCAGCAGCTGAGTGGGGGAGGTGGTGGTCATGCCCAGCTGGCCCTGAGCATCCCCCCACTCCTCTATCCAGGGCCTCAGCCTCCCTCTGAGCCCCCTGGCAGTTGGAGGATCTGGGGAAGCGGAGGGGTGCCTTAATGGCCTTGGAAAGGATCCCAGGGTAATGATTAATCCTCAGGTGGCGGGCGTGCCTTCCCCATACACAGCAACGTTGCAAGGTGGGGGGCTGGGATCTCCATTGTACAGATGAGGAAACTGAGGGTCAGAGAGGCTCAGTAAACTGCCCAAGGTCCCAGAGTTGCTTTCTGCCTGGGCTGGAGTCAGTTCTCTGACTCCTAAGGGGTGGAGTGGTCCACAGTGGACCTGCTCCCCTGTGCTGCCTGGGGCGGGGGCTGGAGGGGAGCATGGGGGCATCTGGATGGAGGTAGGGAAGCTGGGTCAGGTCGAAGAGAACACCTCCACCTTTCTTCAGGGTCCAGAACTGAGACCTTCTCTCCCTCACAGAGCCCCGTGCTCACTTTGCTGCCCCTTCCCACAGCCATGATGGTGTTCCCACTCTGGAACCTTCCCAGCTCTCAGCCTTCCTTGGGCAAAGCCCTCTCCTCTTCTCTCTGCCCCAAGGTGCCTGCCTGGCAGGGGTCTCAGGAGGTCCCTCTCCTGGCTCTGTCCACCCTCTACCCCCTAGGAGACAAGAAGGATTCTTCCTTTGGCCTCTTGAAATGCAGAGGGTCTCCTCTTTGGCTCAGGCGTTTCTGCTGCTCGGGCCTCAGGCTCCCTGCAGAGTCTGCACAGGCCTGGAGTGAGGGAGCCTGAACCCGCTGTACCTGCCTCTCACCTGGTCCCACCCCCGGCCCGGCTGTTGTGTTCTGGAGCGAGAGGCCCTTTGAGGACTCCTGGGGCAGTTCTGTCTTCCACACCACCTGTCTGTCTATGGAGGCCTTTGTCCAGGCTGTCAGAGGCTGCTGAGCAGTCACACGTGCTGTGCAAACAACTGAGACCGCGCACAGCCAGACACAGACACAAACACTGCTCAACTCACAAACACCCCGAGACCCAGACGCAGGAACACACAGGCACACCCAGGCCAAGACCCCCGCTTCCAACTCTGACCAACTGCAGACACGAGAGACACACTGTCCAGATGTGTACACAGCAAGATAGACCTCCTCGGAAGCCCTCCTTGGGCTGATATCTGCTTCTATTATCCCCTCCAGGGTGCTCACGTGATAACACACACACGCGAGAAAGAGCACAGGAAAGCTCCACGCCCTTAATAATGAACCTGGCAGATACACACATGCACCCACCCTTCCCCAGGCTGTGGGTGCACACATGCGTGCATTGCATCAGCTTCCTGCATGTGGGACATGAACTCCTCATCACCCCGGGAGGGGGTGGCAGAGGCCCCTCTGACCACTTCCAGCAAAGCCTCTCTCTCTTCTCTCTTTTCTGCTTCACGTGAACGCAGCTTGGCTGACCCTAAATACTGGGAAACCCTGGTGTTTCAATGGACCCTCCTCTCCTGCACTCGACCCCCACACCTGCCAGGTTGCCAGAGGAGCCTCTCCCCTGGGCTGCCCCTTTGCTGCCCCTGAAGGTGCCGCTCCACAGGCCACTCCCAAGACAGAACCCCCCCAGCCCAGGCCCCAAGCACCCCTGGGGTTCCCTCTCCTTTGCCACTTTTACTGGGAGGGCTTGCCAGGTCCTGGTTTCTGCTTTGCCCTTCCAGCAAGGCTGGGGGCCAGCTGGTGTGAAGGGAGGGGAATTCTAGAGTCCTCCTCTGCTTACCTCCTTGTTGGGCAGAACCTCTGCCAGGCTGGCCCTGGCCCCCTGGCTGTGCTGGCGAGAGGCTGGCATCACTGGGAAGCACCTGCTGAGAGATACTTCTGTGGGCTCAGATGAAGTCTCCAGGGCAGACTGATGCCAGGTGGGGGGCAGCGAGGGGCTCTGGGCTTCGCCATTCTCACTTGGGCACACACCCTAGGCTTGCCAGAGTGCTGGTTCCAAGCCCAGGCCTAGCCCTGCCTCTTGCTGGCTGTGTGACTTGGGCGAATGATTTCCCCTCTCTGGGCCCATCTCCAGCTCCAGGCGGCTCAGCCTGGCTAAGTGAGGAGTGAGATGGCAGCCCTGTGCCAATGAGGAAAGTAAGTGTGGCTTTGCTGGGCAGCATGGGGCAAGACGGGGCCCCTGGCTAGGGGCTCCTGGCAGAATGAAAACACTAGGTCCGCACTAGGTCAAGCAGGGGTTGCCATTCTGGGGACTTCCTGGGGCATCCACGCTGGGGTCCTCAGAGGGGGACCTGAGGGCAGGGGGCTGCAGCCGTAGTTTATGTCTATGGGTATTTTTATGCCCCAAAATGTGCTCTATTTTTAGGGCTGCAGACTAGTGCTTGCAGGCAGTGACTCAGAGAGGAGGGAGGGAGAAGAGGCAGTGGGGCGCCGGGGGGAGACACCCCAAAACAGGGGGACCCACTGGGATACCAGCCTTCCCCACTGGGAGAAAGGAGGCAAACCTGTGATGCGCCTGCCGTGTGCTGGCACAATGGTAGGGACCGCGTTTGCACACTCGCTAAGCATGTATTGAGTGTGTACCGTGTCTCAGGGACTATGACAGGCACCGGGACACAGGTGTGAGCTGGGTGTGGCATGCTTCGGTCCCTGCCACAGCCCAGTGTGGTGTTACTGTGACCACGTCTCAGATGAGGAGGTAAGGCTCACAGAGGTCAAGTGACCTGCCCACTCCGCTAGTAAATACCTCTGCCACCGTGGGCCACGCTCCTTTGGGCCCCCTTTTGGAGGAAGAAAACCTCAATTCAAATTCTGACTTTGCCACTGACTAGCTGCACAACTTGGGGCAAGTTACTCCATCTCTCTGAGCCTGTTTCTTTATTTGTAAAGTGGAGATCCCCCACTTTATGTGCCTGATGGGGTTGTTTCAAGGGTTAAGAAGACTAATGTAGGCAAATGCCCAGGGCAGTGCCCAGCTCAGCGCGGGCATTTGTTGGGGACTAGGAGGAGATGGGCTGGGAGTTGTCAGGAGTCCTAGTCCAGTCTCTGCTGTGTGACTTTGGACAAGTCACTTAATCTCTCTGTGCCTCATTTGCTGTATGACCTTGGACAAGTTACTCTCTCTGTGCCTCATTTCCTTCTCTACAGAATGGGGATGATGAGCCCTTGTTTGCCTCCTACCTGGGAGTGTTGTTTGTGCAGATCAGACATGATGGCTGGGAGCTGCTTTGAAAAACATAGAGCTTCCCTCAGAGATATGAATGCACAGAAGGAAAAACAAACACCAGGAAAATATGGAGGAAAATCTTTTTTAAAAAACTTCAAATATTTTATTGCAGCAAGAGAAAAATAAGCCTTGTCTTCTCTGTTTTGGGGTAGTGGGAATTTTTTCCATGACTTCACATTTCCAAGGCAGTTGGCATTGCTGCTCCCACGTGGGATGAGTAGTTTTCCCCCTTGAGGACTCAGTGCCTGGCACATAGTAGGTGGTCGGTAAATGGTAGGGGCGGCTATTGGTGAGATTCTGGGTCGCTCAGTGAAAGGAGGAGTGAAGTGTTTCTGGCGGTGTGACGACTACAGCCTGAGAGGTGCGATCAGGACACTGGCTTGGCTTCAGTGGAAGGTGCGTGTACGGATGGAAGGAAGTTTATTAAGGGCCTTGAATGCCAGGCTGAGGAGTTTGTGTTTCCCTGAAAGCCAGTGGGGAGACCATTGGAGGGACGGCTGAGCCTTCTGTGGGCAGGCCTTGGGTACCTGGCCTGGCGCACTAGCCAGGAATGAGGAACTGGCCTGGCCCAGTTCTCTGTCCTGCGCCTGCTCTGTAAGTATGGCTCCACTGCCTGTTTCTCTGGGTCTCATTT